GCGCCGAGGCAAACAGCCTCGGATCCCAACGCCGTCGATCATTCCTCGATGCGAGTCGAAGTGCTGGACGGACGACGGCAGGCATGGTTGCGCGTCCGGGCCAACGCACGGTGGGTGGATGATTACGAGGTGTTCGCAATCCGCATCAGGCAGCTCGGAGGATGGTGGCTCGAGCGACTCGAGCGGTCGTCATCGAGACGAAGGTGCCGCGCGAGGTCTTCAATCTGGATTGGGTCCGAGGCGACGTGGAAGAGGTGCTTTCTTGTCTGAGTGCCCCCCCCCCTCCTGCGAGCGGTGCGCGCCACCGGTGTGGCCAGCCGCTCGGGGACCAAGCTCAGCTAGGTGTTGTTACTGCTACAGTCGGGGCCCTGAAGAAGGAACCCTTTTCGTTGGGGAGGGGCTCCGTGTTCCTTAAGTGTTTCGCAGTTTGCCTTGGATTTGCCTCAGGTTTTCGATACGAAATCGAAGTTCAACTTATGGAGAATAGGGGCCTCGTTCCTTATTTAGGGTTCCTTAGGTCAACGCCTCAACTGTATTTCACATTCTGATTAGTCTCGTATGTCTCGGGGAGTTGGTCTATAGATGCGCCGGGCTTCCGATCGGTTGCGCGATGTCCACGGTGGCCGTGTCAATCGCTCTAGCAGAGCTTGCAAGGATGTTCGTTTCGCGGTGGGCTTTGCAGGGTTGCAGGTTGCAAGGGCTTTTTGTTTCGGGGAGTGGTGGCGTCAGCAGTACATCGGCAAGAACGATACGTAGATGACATGGTGTCAGGAGGGAAAAAACACACAGACACAATTCATCGTCGACTCCCCAGAAAACATGGGAAAATATTGAGAAGTGGGGGGAAAGACAAAAACCCAGAAAATATCGGAACATATGCGGAATATTGTTATTTGTGTGTGCATCTATTTGTGTGTCCTGGGGCCCCTTCAATGTGTCTGGCAACAAGGGGCCGGTGCTGCGGGTGCCTCCTGGAGCATCCGGCTTCGATCCATGCGCAAAACGCGTCGCCTCCCGGGACCTCCGACGCAGGCGCGCTTGCGCGGGTCGATCTGCGAAGCCCCGGCCCATTGGGGCAGCGGATGCCGGTCCTTCCCAGGAGCAAGACCGGCATCTGCTGATCGGGTTCGGCCGATCAGGGAAGCGGGATTTCCAGCAGATGTCGTCCGTCCTCGTCGCTCGGCCAGGGGCTATTCCGAGGGCTTTTCAGGGGGCCCCGATCCGTCGCGCCGCCGCGCGCTTCGCGGCGCCGCGCTGCGGGGCTCGGGGAGGCGGGCCTTCCTGGAGAGATGGTTTTCTGGGAAGCTCTTCTGGTACTCTTCTTCTACCCTTGCTCGCTCATCGGGGCTCCAGTCCAGAAATCCAGGAATCTCTTCGGCGCGTCGCGCGCGCGCCGCATCCGGGGGGCCACGGTCCGCCACCGGCGCCGCGGACGCTCGCGGCGCAGGCCCCCAGATCGGGCACGGCGCCGCAGCCCGCGCCGCGCCGCGCGCGGCCCGCACGGCGCGACGCACGGCCCTGACTCACCGCCCGCCAAACCACCCCAACCCAACCCGAAGGCCACGATTTGCCCTCCATTTCCAGTGTGGGGGGGTCGGGGAACATCGAAAAAACACGTGGAACCGGTACCCCCCCCAACCCGAAATGCGGGTCAAATTCGGGTCTTCGGGTTGGGTTGGGGTGGTTTGGTAGGTAGTCACTAACTACTTCCGAAGGCCTCCAAGGATCCCCCGAGAAGCCTCCGAGAGACACGGGAGGCCACGGGAAGGGCGGGCCAAAGAGACCGCAGGACCCGAGAGGCCCCCGCCAGGAAGGAGAGACAGTGTAGGCAGCTCCCGAGGACCTCGGAGGAAGGGAGCGACGGGAGCCGATAGGCCTAGGGAAGGAGTGGAGCGTGAGCCCAGAGGCTCCCGCCCGAAGCCAGTGGAGGGCGCGGCCGAAGAGCAGCGGGGGAAGAGAGGGAGGGGCCTGCAAGGGCTCGAAAGGCTCGAGGAGGGAAGAGCAGCCCTAGGGACTCCAGGACGCGACCGCGGCCGCCCTGCCCTCCTTAGTTGAGGAGGATGGTCTCGGCCCCCTCGTCGGCCGCCTGCACCCCCCGTTCGTAGGGGTCGGCATGAACACCGACGAGGGGGTGTCCCTGCACCAGTAGCTCTTGTACTGGGTGTCGCCGTCTGGCTTCATCGGCGACTTGCCGTGGAGCCGCATCGTGAGCCCCTCGTATGGGTATGGGCCAAAACGGTGTCTTGACGCCTGATTGTTGTTGGGATCCTCCTCATGTGGCCTACCGCCTTTCGGCGCCGTCGGAGCTGCGGTGGCCATCATCTTGCCGCCACCTTTTGGCGTTTAGCGCTGTGGCTGCAGATGTCTCCTGGGGGGACTCATCCATGTAGCTTCCATATATGCATCCACGAAGTTGCAGTACTGGTAGTACTCGCTGTAGTACTGCTGGATATCGCTAAGCTCGTGCGTGCCGTTGATGGTTGTCGCAATCGTCCATAGGATGTCCGTCATACATGGCTGTCTGTCCGTAGCTGGAATAGTAACATGTGTGATCACCTCAGCAGTTCGCGTCGTCATCCTTGAGGTGACAAGCTGCTCAAGTTCTGGTATCTTGGGTCGCCGCAGGTTGCTGTCGTCCATGACGAATGGTATGCTATATGCAGCGCAAGCGTAAGCGATGCCGATGATTTCGTATAGCTTCGTGTTGTCGTGGTAGGTTCTTTATTTTGTCATCTTGTCTGCGTGTGTCTTTCCCCTTGGCTAGCTTACGTCGCGTGCGGACTTGTCTGGGTCGGTGGTGTCGGTTGAAATGTGTATTCCGATAGCACCGACGTTTCCGTCCTTAATAGCTTGAAGCCACCAGCTGTTATATCTTCTCGATGGTCTTGTTGTTTCGTCCTCGGGGTCAACGTTGTTGTCGGTCGTGACCGAGACGATGCATGTTGGGATGCTGGTTTCTTTTATTCGGTGCTCGAGTTGTGATTGCATGTCGTCGTAATGCATCGCGTCGTTGCTGAATTTGAACACCCCTTTATATTTGGAAGCGTGGGCGGTCGTGTCGGGTCGTGAATGGTTCTCGTCTGTCTGTGAGTGGCGTCGTGCGCTGTCATTGCTCTCGCTGTCGTGGCGACCTTGCTGTTCCTGCTCAGTAGCTTCACGCATGGCTTTCCAGCGTAGTCCTCGTGTAGTCCTTTCGCCGTGTTAGTCCTTCGTATTCGTCTGACATCGTGTCGGTTAGCTTCGATCTCCTCTTCATCAGGTTCGCCGCTGACTTGTAGTATGTAGCGAGTTAGTGCATCTGGGCGTAGCCTTCATATGTTTCAGGAGTCGTTTGGGGGTCCAGTACTCGGTCAGGCAAATTCGGCATACCGTCCCAATTGTGTTGTTGGCGATGTTGTTCGCGGGGCGATGTACCGCATTGATGTGCTTCTGATATGCCGCTTTCCCGTTGAGTATCGCTCCGCATTGGTAGCACATGTGTTGGTTGTTCGCGTCGGCCTTAGGTATTCTTAGCAATGGATGAAGGTGTGTGTGTGTGCCCGTGCAGATCGCTTCGAGTGATCGTCTCCATTTGACTTGCTGTGCTTCTTCGACTGTCCCATGTATCGATCTTCTGTTTGCTTGGGAGACGGTGTTTTTGAAACTTGTGGGTTCGTCACGGGCCATCTTGATCCAGCCGGGGATATCGCCGGGTAAAGGGGTCTTTTGTTTGGGGTCGACGTTGCAAATCTCGGTCATGCCGTTGATGAACGTGGTGCTCCATTGCCCCGCACTGTCGATGTCGTAGTCCAGCCTGGCTTGTAGTTCTCCAGGGCTTTGTAATACCATGCGTGGCACCTCTCGTAGCCAATCGCGTCGCAGCCGTTGCGGGAGCAGCGGGGGTCCTGATCCGCCGATGCTCTCGTTGCATGCGGTGCGTTCTTCTTGCATCGTGTGGTGGCTGATTCCCTGCGCGTCTCTTATGGCGGCTATGTAGGCAGTGTTGATCTTGTCAATGTCGGTCTTTTTGTTGTCGGTCTTTGTTGTCCTCCTCTTCCTCCTCCTCCTCCTCTTCCTCCTCCTCTTCCTCCTCCGCCGACTGGAGGAGGGAGGAGGGAAGAGACCCAGACATCTGACCGTCGTGGAAAGATGCAGCGGGCGCTTCCGCCGCGCTTCGGGCCCTGGGAACGCGCGAATCAATGTGGTTCGAGGTATTCTGCAAGAGGATCGGGTTAGTATCTTCCGCGGTCGCGTTTTCTTTGATGGCGAGGTGATGTTCTCACGACGTCCGTTGTCCAGGGATGATGGTGTTGCAAGTGATGTTGATGATGGTAATGGTGCGGTGGCAGGAGGAAAGATGATGAACACATGATCATAACGGCAGGAGGAGGGAAGAGCGTGGGAGAAAGGACATGAGGAAGGATAAGGAGGTAGAAGTAGTAGGAGGGCAGAAGGAGGGAAGGGCGATGGAAAACGAAACGGAGGGAGAGGAGGAGAAAGACCAAGTAGAGTGAGGATGCATGAAGGGAAGAGGGCGGGAGGAAGAAAAGGAAGACGGATGAGGAGCTGGAAGGAGAAGGAAGATTGGATGAGACAAGAGGGCAGGAGGATAGGGGGGAGGATGAGGGTTAGGAGGGAGGAAGGAGGAGGGCGGAAGGATAGAGTGGGCGGGTCGAATACGAGGGGCAAGGAGAGGGGGTAGCCCGTCCTCGGCTTCCAGCGCTCCCTCATTGACTCATTGCTCCCCTCCCGCCCTTCTCCGCAGCTCTGTTCCCCTTCCCCCTCCCTTTCGCCCCCTTTTTCGCTTCGAGGAGGGGGAAGGATGGGAAGGAGGGAGCGAGGGGGAGGATGAGGGATCAGGGGAAAGAAGAGGAGGAGGAGGAGGAGGAGGAGCAGAAGGAAACAAAGAAAGTTAGGATGCGCAGGAAGAGGAGGAGCGTGCGGAGATGTATGATGATGGGGAGGAGGTAGCGGTGGAGAGACATGGGAGGCGGAGCATGGGCAGGAGGAAGAGGAGAGCCGATGGGCAGATCCAGGAGCGAGGCATGGGGGCGCATGAGGAGGAGCGGGGAGCGTGGATCAAGCAGCGAGAACGAGAACGACCGAGGCATGCGGAACGGAGGAGGAGGAGGACGAGGAGGAGCAGGAGCAGGACGCGACGGCGATCGCGGCGCTGACGAACGGAACGTCCGCGGCGGGGGGGCGCTGCCCCGCGCGGCTGGTCGGGCCCAGGCCCACCCCGTGTACGTCAAAGACCGGGACGACAACCAGATGAGGAGAGCGGGGCTCGGTTGTTCGGCTATACGCAAAAGTTACCCTGGGGAAGAGTTACCTTTGGTGCGCGGCTTTTCGGGGGCCGCGGAGGGACCAAACCTGGACGCGCAGGCAGCTGCTACTGTTTCGTGAGGAGGGTGACCCCTCGTGGGAGAGGGTGACGCTTGCGTGGGCACGTCAACTGCAGTCGGACCGAGGTATACGGTCGAGGTCGGTTCGGGGAGGGTGCCCTAATATTCTTTGTGTCTGTTGGATGTTCTCGTGCACCCTGGGGAGAGTACCCTGGAGGATGTTCTATGTGTTTTGGGCGGCGGAGTGTCTCGTGTTCTTGAGGGTCGTTCTTTTGTCCTAGGTTCGACTGTAAGAAACCGGCCTGCAAGCAGGTTCCTCGTTGATTTTTGTTGATTCCCCTACGGCCCTGAGGACCGAGCGGCATGATGTGTCACCTTTTTCGAGTTTCAGGTCGAAGAGAAATCTAGCTGCCGTCCTCGCGTCGGCCCCCACCACCCTGCCAGCGCAGTGGCCCAGCAGGGGGGAAGTTGAGATCAAGACTCGCTCCCGTTTGGGATCCAGTCGGACCTGAGGCGGGTCTCAGGCACCCCGTTTTCGTCTCTCCTCCCTCTTGGAGGCATGCTGGGGGCTTTGGGGTATCTTTCGAGGGCGTCTCGGGGCTGGCTTGGGGGCCTCTGATGGCCACTGCCGGGGGCACGTCAGGGGTCTCAGGGATGTCTTCGACGCGATCGCTCGACCGAGAGTTCCTGAAGAGGCTTGGGGGCTCATCTGGGCGCGTCCTGGGGCGCTCTTGGGGCGGTCTCGGGCCGTCGTGAGAGAGCTTTCTCAGAAGCGTTGCCGAGGCATTCTAGAGCAGGAGAGCATCAGAAGCAGAAGAGATCAAATTCCATCGGTTTTGCATTGTCTTGGGTTTCATGGAGCCTTGCTCAAGAGGTTTTTGAGCGACGTCGGAGCCTCGCGGACCCCAACGGGGGCTTGTTTGGCATTCTCGGAACCTCTTGCGGAGCATCGGAGCCTACGGGAGCTCGTTGGGCCGTCCTGGCCTCGATCTGGACTTTCTGGTTGTTTCGAGGCGCCACGTTATATCTCGATTGGATTGGCTTGGAACCATCTTAGGGGGGAAGGCGAGCTATTGCGTATTCACGTTTCTCCCAGGCCACCCTTTGGAACATGACAGAAGCACAGTTGGGAAATCAACAGGCGCCCGGATACGCCCCAATGTGCCGCAGGCGCGGTAGGCAGCAGGCACGATGGCGGAAACGCCTTAGTTCTCTTACAACAAGATGTCTCACCCTACGTGTCTATTGCATCCCCATTACGTATTGTATCGTCAGTATCTTGGATCCTCTCGTCTCTGAGTGCGCCTGGTCATCCTTTCGCGTGCGGAGGCGCAGATGTTCGCTCGCTCTTCCCCCCCTTGTGCAATTGTGTGCGCGCTGCGCTTGCCTTGCTGGGATGCCCACCGCGCCAATCCCCTTCGCTACTCATCCTGCTGCTTCCTCCCCTCACTATCCCCTCACTACCGTCGCCGCTTCTCCCTCCGCAGCGGTGCTCGTGCCCCTCCCTGGACGGAGGGTTTGGGAGGTGCCTCGGGGCGTGGAGCCCCAAACAAATCACTATCCCCTCACTTCCCGCGCGTCTCTTCGCCCGATCGTCGATCTCGCTGCCCGCGCCCGCCTCCCTCGCTGCCCCCGTTGCCGCCTCCGTCCAACACACGCGCCACGACGTCGGGCATGCGCGCAGCAGGCGGGCCCACCCACTCCCCGCCCGCGGCCCCGTGCGGCCACCTCGGGGTGGCCGTCGACGAAGACAAAGCCATCTCATACGCTGGCCCCATTCCCTTCCACCATCCTCTTGGCATCGCTCGGACGTGTGCATGTTTCCTTTGGTGAGGGCCATCGAGGAGCATCCTGGATTCCTTGGCGAAAAAACACGCACGACACCGAAAAAAGCACAGGGAATGGACGTCCGAGCGATGCGAAACAACCACGCACGAAACCGAAAAAAACACAGGGAATGGACGTCCGAGCGATGGCCAGTCCTGGACACGCATCCTGCGCTGCAGCTGCGCGCGTCGACGGCCCTGACACGTCAGTGCTGCCTACGCTGAGGCAGGGGGCCCAGTTCACCCCGCGTTGCCTCGGCGATGCGCCACGGCAGTGCTCGTGGACACAAGGAGGTCGATCCGCGCACGTGTGCGCCGTCGCGGGCACCTCGTAAAAAAAGGCGGGACCCCCCGCCGACGTCGTGGCCACACCGAGAGTGCAAAGCTTCTTCTTGATGGGCGCCAGCTTGAAACCTATACGCTGGGCGCGTGCAGCAATCCTGGGCCATGGATGGTCCCAGGCAGGACGGGCTGCATCCTGGGCCTGGGCCTGGACCTGGGCGTGCAGGCCCGGGCAATCCTGGGCCTGCACTGGCGCGAAGCACTTTGGTCTGATAAGCCGACGGTGCAGGCAGACCGAGAGAGGTAAGCCGATCAAGAAAGAAATCGTTTCTGGTGGCCGATGTCGCCATCACCGTGGTTACATTGTTCTTATTGTTCCTTTCCTTATTTTTGTCTTCGTCCATTTTCTGCTCCTCATTCTCGAGTGGATTGGCACACGAAGGCTTCTTCGTCCTCTTCTGATTCGTTGGCGGAAGCTCCTTCTTGGCGAATCTCTCGAGAGCTTCGCGGAAACATTGTTAGGGCTCTTTGGGAGCCTCTGGAGGCGGCCGTGGCGCCTTTTGGCGACCAGTGGGAAGGTCCCCGAGCCACCACACCGGGAGCCGTAGTTCCAGATCACGTGTTACATTTTTGGGGAAGTTGTTTTGAAGACAATTCGGGGCCGCGGTGAGGCCGCTCGTGGGCAGTTTTGGAGCCGTCTTGGGCCCGCACGGGGCCCTCTTGGGCTGTCAGGAACCCCGTCTGGCTTGTCTCAGAGCGGTTGTCGGTGTTTTTTCAAGCGATCTCGGACGCTGGGAAGGAAGCCTGAATGAGCGAGTATCCGAATACTGAGAAAATGAAGCAATGTGTGTTTTTCCCATTTTCGAGCGACTCTTCCAAATGACATTCGGGCCGTGTTCGGGCGTCCAGCGGGGGTCTGGGCCGCTTGATGGCATCTTCGATCGTTTTGGGAGTCTCTTGGGCCTTGTGCCGGTTGTTTTGCAGTCATTTTGGGCCAGTCATGGGGCCTCCTCTGGGCAGCTTGGCGGCCGTCTTGGGCCCTCATGTGACCGCGTTGGGGTGACAGGAAGTGCGTTTGGCTCGTCTTGGAGCGCTTCCCTGTACCTTTTCCAGCGTTCTCGGACGCTTGGAGGCCCGAGTGAGCGAGTATCCGAAAATCATACGAAAAAACAATGAAACATCAATGCCATTTCAAGTTTCGAGCGCCTCTTCCAGGTGACATTCGGGCCGTCTCGGGCGCCCAGCGGTGGTCCGGGCCGCTTGATACCATGTTCGATCGGTTTGGGAGTCTCTTGGGCTTGTGCCGGTTGTTTTGCAGTCATTTTGGGCCAGTCATGGGGCCTCCTCTGGGCAGCTTGGCGGCCGTCTTGGGCCCTCATGTGACCGCGATGGGGTGTCTGGAGGCCCGCTTGCGCCGTCTCGGAGCGGATTTCAATGGTTCTCCAGCGTTCTCGGACGCTTGGAGGCCCGAGTGGGCGACTATCCGAACATCAAACGAAAAACAATGCAACATCAAAATATCTTTAGGGTCGAACGCCTCGTGGGGGTGACGTTCGAGCCGTCTTCGGGCGTCTGGCGGGGGTCAAGGGCAACGTGAAACCATCTTCGACCGCCTTGGGCGTCTCATGGGCCTTGCGCCGACCGTCTTGGGACTGCCACCCCGCCTGCGTGCACGCCTTGGCAGGGATTGCTAGATTGCTGGACCGCCCCCTCCGTGCCAGGGAGGGCGTCTGGCCACCCCGAGAAGTCCCAAATTCGTAGGGGTGGGCGGGGGGGTAGGCCTTTTCCGGGGTCCCTGGCCGGGGCCCGGGCCGTATGAAAATATATGAATCGGAATATACGTATGATGTTCCAACCTACTCTAGCCTTGATCTCCAGAGTGAATTTCGAGCACCAAGAAAACACCCCCAAACTCAAGGGTTATCACGTGTCGGGCCCTGGGAGACACTCTTTCGACACTCTTTCGATACTTTTCTGGGTGCTCGAAATTTTGGCGGCGCGCAGAGGGGGGTAGTGGGAGGGGGGAAGGCTTCTTAGAAGCACCCCTGCTTCTTAGAAGGTGCGGGCCTTCTCTGTAGATGTAAGACCGGCGCCTTCTAAGAAGCAGCCTCTTTCTAAGAAGCCTTCCCCCCTCCCCCTACCCCCTTATGCCCGCCACCAAAAATCATTTCTGGGATGACGTCCTTAAGTACGATGGGAGCAACATAAGAATACACTTGGCGCGCTCCGACCTTCTGCTGCGCAGCAGCACCTCGCGGGCGCAGTTCGGCAAGAGCGGCGTCGCGCGGGCGCCTCTGGCCGCCTCCGAGGTCAAGTCAGGCCCCCGGAGACCAGGACACAGATAGACCAGGACACGGAAAACCAGGGAGAAGACATCCTTTCCTGCAAGGTCACGTGTTTCAGCCCCCGTGCATGTCTTGTTTGCTGCTCCGCAGGATTCGGGTTTGTGTTCGGGTTTAGGGGTGTCTTGCAGGCTTTTGGGGCTTGGGTCCTGGTTTATTCTGGAAATGCTGCAGTGCAGTATTTTGTTCGTGCCGCCGTTTGGAAAAACTGGTTTCGAGGGATGTTGGGCGTCCGGGTCTAGAGATTGTTTTTTTATCCTCTGGGGGGTAACGCTCGTTACCCGGGCCTCTCCCCCCCCCCCCCCCCCCCGTAACGGTAACGCTCGTACGCGGGGGGGGTCTCGGTCTTCCCCTCCAACATGCTGGTGCCCGAAGGCATGCGCACTGTGGTGTGGTGGTCGCAGGCGCACTGTGGGCGCTCGCAGGCCATTGCGGCGCTCGCATGCGCGATGCTGGTGCTTGCGGGCTTTGCGCTTGTACTCGAATCGTCGTCGTCGTCGTCGTCGTCGTCGTCGTCGTCGTCGTCGTCGTCGTCGTCGTCGACGGCGCCCGAAAACGGCCTCCGGAGGCCGAAACAGGCGGCAAACGTCGTCGTCGTCGTCGTCGACCTCGTCGCTCGTCGCTCGTCGATCATCGTCGTCGCGCGCGCGGGCGCGGGCGTGGTGCCGGGACCACGCGGCGGGCTTTGCGCTTGTACTCGAATCGCAAGCCACTGTGGTGCTCTCAGGCAGAGAGTGCTGCTCGCGCGCATACTATGGCGATCGCAGAGCGCCCCTGCTTCGCCATACCCCGCCCAGCCCAAGCGTTACCGTTACCCGGGGGGCACGACCCCCCCCCCCCCCCCCCGGGTAACGAGCGTTACCGGCCGGAATAAAAAAATGATCTCCTACGGGGCCCTGATCAAGGAGCAAACACGGGGCAAACCCTGGCAAAAGATGTAGATCGTCGCAGGCCCGCGCAAGGGTATGGGATCTGCGCCAGGATCCCCTGGTGGCGCCGCCGCCGGCGCCACAGCCGCCGGAGTTGTCCCTCTCCAGGGTGGCCGTGCGAACGCACGAAGATTATCGCACCTCGCGCGCAGCGCGAGAATGACCGATTGCAACGGCCGCGGGGCAGGCTGCAGGCCTCACGCCAGTGGGGCTTTGTCGAGCATCGACCTGCCAAAGAGCAAAAGAGAAGCGAACTGGAATACGGGACGGCAGGCGCCGCTGGTCTGGCGGACGGCAGCAGAGTACGGCGATCGAGGATTGCAAGACAGTGGCCCCAAAGGGGCCGTGAGCTGCCACCGCATGCCCAGGAGGTGCACGAAAGGCGCGCGCTGTACAACCCGCGTTGGTTGCCCCCCTGCTGACGAACACACGAGTTGGGCCCCCCGTGCCTCCGACGGCGCGGCCGCTCCGAGCCGCCAGCCCCCCGGAGTTCTCGAGGCTTGCCTCAAGCATGCCACCTTTGGCATCGTGCCCCAAGCGTCGATGCAGAGGGTTCCAGAAGGAGGAATCGGAGTGTAGCATAAATCAGGAGGGAAAGAAACACACATACACAATTAATCGTATCGTCGACCCCAGGAAAATATGGGAAAGTATGGGAAGTGGGGGGGAAGACAGAGACCCCGAAGATATGGGAAAATGTGGGGAATCCTGTGATCTGTGTGTATTTATTTGTGTGCCCCAGGGCCCCTTCAATAAAAGTCACAAGATGGGAGGGAGCAGGGAGCCTGGATGGGGAAACAACAGCATCAATAAGACCTCCGCCGGCAAGACCTCGTGCGCGAGCCCCGACCCTGCCCCAGGGCCCCCGCCGTTCTTGATCCCAGGCGTCCGCCGACGTGACGACTCGTCCTACCTGATAGGAAACGACCATGCGCATCTACACATGGCGCGAGAGAGCTTCTCATCAGCAAGATTGGCAGATCGTCTTCAAGACTCTTCCGCCTGAGTCGTGCACTCTCTCGTGACGGTGGTTCTTTCAAGTTGGCTCGAGCTGTGGGCAAGCTGCGAAGCTGTCAAGCACATCCGCAGCCCCAGAGATCCAGACCGCTTCCCCGGGGCCACCCTTTTCGCCCCAGGCCTACGTTTGACGGGCCTGGGGCCCGATAGCGGGCCACAGTGGCCCAAATCAAGGAACAAAAAGCCGGTTGGTCGTTTTCAGACGGCTTTGGGCCGCCCCCGAACGGAACGAAGCCCACGAACGGAACCGCGCTCCACGCCTTTCGCGTTCCCCTTCGCGTGTTTCGATATCTGTGAGGCTCCGGAATTCTCGAGGCCCCAACGTGTGCACAGATGTTTCGCGCCATGGCTTGTTTCTTGCAGCGTTTAGGAGCTTGGTCCCGAGATTTGCGCGATGCGGGAGTGTTCCATGACCCTCGCCTGGGGGATCGATCTTCGAGGACCGCGGTATGCGGTGGGTCTGGATACCTTGGGCCCCAGGGGAGCTCAACGGTGTCCACATCCTCCGCCCCCTGGGCTCCCAGGACATCGGTGTGGATATGGATATATAGACCCCGCCTCGCAGATGGGGTCGAGACATCGGCGGCGTCGTGAAGACAAAAATGGCGTCGGCAGGAGCGGGAGGAGCGGGGACGGGGAGGCGGAGCGGGAGCGTGGGGGCAGGACGAGAGGGAGCAGCACGCGGCAGCGGGGGAAGCAGCGGCGGGGGCGTGCCTCCCCAGAGGCTGCGCCGCTCCCCGCCCGGGCAGGAACCTGCGGACGAGGCTGTCCGTGCTGTGAGCGGGTGGGGTCCGCGGGCCGCCCTCCACGGGGCGCGGCCGCCTGCCGCCGGCACGCGCCACTCTCGTAGTTCTGACCGCCCTGCCCCGTCGTATCACCCCCGCCTTGCAGCACCCGCAGCGGCACGGGGTGAGCTTGGGCGCCCGAGTTATCCGGGGTAACTCGGGTCCGGGGTAACTCGGGCTTGGATTCCCGAAAAAGGAACCCGAGTTAGCCCTGACCCGAGTCACCCCTGATGATGTGGGGCTCTGGACGCCCGAATTATCCAGGGTAACTCGGGTCCGGGGTAAGTCGGGTTCGGATTCCCGAAAAACGAACCCGAGTTAACCCTGACCCGAGTTACCCCTGATGATTCGGGGCTCTGGTGAGCTGTCCATCGCTCTCCAAGAGGCACGGGCAGTTCGGCGCGGCAGCAGCTCCCCCCGCTGGGCCGCCCGGGAGGGGCCGCGGAGAAGCGTCGGAGCCAGCGCGCGGCTCCCGAGCAGAGGGTCCGGCGGCCCAGGCGAGGTGCGCCGTGCCGACAAGGCCGTCCGCGAAATCAGTGAGGAGGAGGAGGAGGAGGAGGAGGAGGAGGAGGAGGAGGAGGAGGAGGAGGAGGGAGAGACGACGACGCCGATGACGACGACGGCGCCGACGACGACGACGACGACGACGACGACGACGACGACGACGTCGACGACGACGACGACGACCACAACGACGACGACGACCACCCTGACCCGAACGACTCGAGGTAAAGACGTGGCCTCACTGAGGACCCCGTCTTCGCATGATGAGGATCATGGAAAGATCCAGCCGGTGTGGCTCGATGCACCTGCAGAAGGGACCCCCTTTTATCCCTGATGTTCCTGCGGCTCGTAGCTTGGGTCCTCTCTCATAGGCTGAGGGGGTCCTCGTGTGCCTCATCACGCCAGGGTCGGTCGGCAGGTGGGTGCCTTCTTTTCGTTCCCCCTCCCTCTCCCCCCCCTTGAGGCGCAACGTTCGGGGAGGAGGGGGATATCAAGCAGTGGCGAAGCGTCCTGGCTCGCCTATAGCCCTACCAGACAATGTTCTAAGAACCTTTTGTGGCTTCCACGAAATGTTCTTAGAACATTTCTGGCGGATATCGTCTTGTTTTAACACATGGGGGTTATGTTCTAAGAGCATGGCTTTTGTTCTTAGAACATGTCTGGGTTCTAAGAACATTTCGTGGTAGGACTATAGGAATGCCGGGACGGTCGGTCCCTGCTCAAGGATCGGCTCAGGGGGTGGGGGAGCATCGGCCCCCGATCGCCCATGGATCGCCGATGTGGGCCCCGAGAGCTCACCCCGCCCAGGAACGTGCGGCGCCCCTATGGGGGGCCGGTCGCCGATGACTTGGCGACCCGTCGCCGACTCCAGCTCGATGCTTCCCCCCTGCTCCTCCTCCTCCTCCTCCTCCTCATCCTCCTCATCCTCCTCCTCCTCCTCCTCCTCCTTCTCCTCCTCCTCCTACCTTCGTGCCCCAACTCGGCGGCGAGCGAGGGGGGGAAGTTACAAGGAGAAGGCCTCCCCAGAAGGCGGCGGGGCTTCTCAGGAGGCCTCGGGCCTTCTCAGAAGTTGTCTATGTCCTCGGGGAAGGCCCAGAGGACTTCCTGGAAGGCCGGAGGGCTCCCGAGCCTCCTGAGAAGGCCCGCCCCTTCTCACTTCCCCCCCTCGGGCTCGCCGACAACGAACGCCCCCCCCCTCCCCCTCCTCCTCCTCCTCCTCCTCCCTCCTCCTCCTCCCTCCTCCTCCTCCTCCTCCTCCTCCTCCCCCTCCTCCTCCCCTCCTCCTCCTCCTCCTCCTCCTCCTCCCTCCTCCTCCTCCCTCCTCCTCCTCCTCCTCCGCCTCCTCCTCCTCCTCCTCCTCCTCCTCCTCCTCCCCCTCCCCCTCCCAGAGCCCACAGCAGCTCGCACTCGGCGGCCCTCCGTGGGGCGCAAGACCCCTCCGGGCGCGGGCGCGGCGGTGAAGTCGGAGCGTCGCCGCCCCCTCTCCTTGTCGCGTGCAGAGGCCCGGCGGCCCGGTGCGGCCGTGGCCGCACGGCTGCGGAGGCAAGTGGGTACGCTCGGGTGCGCAAGTGGCGGGGAGGAGCGAAGGGAGGGTCATCGGGGGCGGAAAAGAGGGGGGTGATGACTAGGGGGGGGGGGATATCAAGGCGGGGGCCACGATATCTCCCCAGATTTCCTGGCGCCTCTTCTTATCTTATTACGTCCCTGGTCCCCCCGCTGGGCCGCGCACATGCCGCCGGTCATGATTTGCACCCCCCCCTCTTTGACACCCCCCTCTTGGCCGCTCCCGAGGTCAGGAGCGAAAGGAGGACGTACTTTTTTGATTCGCGGGTCGAGAGCGAGCCTCTTCCAGTCGAAGCTGAGCGGGCCGCGCACGGCTTTAATTACAGAGGGAGGGAAACAGGAGGCGGGGCCTCACGTCAAGAGGCCAGGAGAGGGCAAAGCCCCAGGATCAAGCGGTGCAGAAAGCGAAGTGCATGCAAAGGAACGCCTTGGACAGGAACCCGTAGGCGAAGTACCGGGAAAAGGAGGACGTACACGTACATGAGTCCACGCTGGTTTCGAGAGTACGCATTGCGCAAATGTTCGTATAACGCGGCCAGTCTCGCGGATCGGGGGGCCGCGTTCATGTACACAGTTGGGCGCGTACGTCCTTTGCGGGCTCCCTAGGAGGGATCGGACGGGGCTAGGACGAGCATAAGTCCGTTCCAGAGCGTTCTGGAAGGTGCCAAGTGTACTGTGGAGGACGAGCAATGGAGAGGAAGCATGCTGCCAAAGATTTTCCTGATGTCTAGAAATTCCCCAATCAGAGCTTGCCTCTGTAGGGGTCCGAGCGGACTCATATGATTAGGTGAGGGTGCCAGTTGTACACCTACACTTAGGATTCGGGGGTGGACAGACCTTCTACCCTGACACGTCGAGTAAGAAATTGGCCGTTTTCGGTTCGCGAGAGGGCGTCGCGGCCGTCGTTTTTGCGGGTCCAGGTCCGTCGGTTTCGGTCCCAGGCCGTTTTCACCAAGGGGAGGTCTATTAAAGGGAGGTCTACTAAAGGCAGGAGTGACGGGTTGCTGTTCTGTCGGAGGGTGCCAAGTGTATTGTGGAGGACGATCAATGGAGAGGAAGCATGCTGCCAAATAATTTCCAGATGTCTAGAAGATGTTTTTAAACATGTGTTAGATATGTAAAAGCATGTATGAAACGTTTTTAGGACATGTTTTACACATTGTAAACACATCTTCATTTCAATGGTAGGACTGTTAGGGTGTCCATTGTCGTGGCATCCACAAACCTGCACCGATCCAGAGGGTGCCAAATTTACACCTACACTTTTGATGATCCAACCTACTTTAGCCTTGATCACCCGAAAAAATTCGAGCGCCAACAAAAGTACCGAAACTCGAGGGTTTTCACGTGTCGGGCCCTGGGAGACACTCGCCCGACACTGTTTCGACACTCTTTCGGCACACTTTTGACACTTTCCCGGGTGCTCGAAATTGTTTCTGGGATGTGGCCCTTGATGGGAACAGCATACAGTCGGGGCGCTGAAGAAGGAACCCTTCTCGTTGAGGAGGGGCTCGGTGTTCCTTGATTGTTTCAAAGTTTGCCTCGGGTTCTCCTGAGGCCTCCATGGGAAATCGAGGTTGAACTTATGGGAAAAAGGGGCCTCGTTCCTTATTTGGGGTTCCTTAGGTCACCGCCTCGACTGTAACCCTACACCGATCCTGGCCAGCCCGATCCTGAGCCCAGGAGCGGTGTACACATCGACCATGGGCCCGGAATGATCCCTGCCAGCATGGGCGCAGATGTCTGATAGTCCTGGCATCGCTCGGACGTGTGCATTTTTCCTTCGGCGAGGACCATCGAGGAGCATCCTTGATCAGTTGGCGAAAAAACCACGCACGAAACCGAAAAAAACACAGGGAATGGACGTCCGAGCGATGCCCAGTAGTTGGCGTCCTCCGACCCTGGGCTTTCCGAGTTCACAGTGGAGGCACTTGCCCGCCGCAGGCTTCCTGTTTCTGGGATGGCGACAGCAGAATCATGATTTTCAGAAAGACACCGCACGTGTCAGGAGGGAAAGAAACACACACACACAATTAATCTTCGATTCCCCCTGAAATATGGGAAAATATGGGAAGTGGGGGGAAGATAAAAACCAAGAAAATATTCGAAAGTATGGGGAATCTTTTTATTTGCGTGTGTGTATTTATTTGTGTGTCCCAGGGCCCCTTCAATGTGGTGGTTTCTCTGCAGCTCGTTTCTGCGCCACTGGCACCCCCGCTGGCCCCTGCATCCGCCGGCCCTGGGCTGCCTGGCTGCCTCCCCCCCCCCCGCCCCCGCCGCGGAGTTGCTGGCCCCCCCGACCAGGCCACCTATACCTCAATCCCAGAACTCGAGCCCACCACATGCGCCGAGACTGTCTCGCGCGCGCGCAGCCCAGAGCCGGCGCCGCCGCTGGGCCCCACGGAAGCGCGAAGGGCAAGCGAGCTGCGCCATGCGCCATTCCCCAAAGAGTGCTTCCACCGCTTGCGAAATTCACGCCCGCCAGTGAAAGTGCCGCGCAGACCCAGCCCGGACCACGTATCCCAATGTTGGCCGACGACCGGCGCCGGACGGGAGCGCGAAGTGCTGCGAAACGAGCACCCACTTTTTTACTGGGGGCTTCTGCTTGCCCGTCAGCCTCGGAAAACGTGGGGCGAGGAGGGGGCGCGCGTGGACGCCTTGTTGTCCAGACATGACGCGGGCAAGTACGTCGCAACCCACCGTTGCACGCGGGGGCTCTCGCCTCCATCTCCAAGTAGTCGGGTGGGCCCGCCGAGGCGTCCCCATGGCTCACGCAACGCAGCTGGCGCCTCACAGCTCGCACAGCATAGCTTGCAGAGCCTGCACGACGCGCTTTTACACCACAGAGCTCACACCAGATAGCTCGCACAGCATGGCTTGCCCCACGTGGCTTGCTCCACCTAGCTTGCACCTCCACAGTGCAACAAC